TGTGTGTGTGTGTGTGTGTGTGTGTGTGTGTGTGTGTGTGTGTGTGTGTGTATGTGTGTGTTTGATGAAAACCTTTCTGAGGAAAAAGTCAGAGACAGTAGCTTGTAAGGCTCTGCTCTTGTTCCCGGTGAGTCCTCTGTATGATCTCTTTTTCACCTCTGACTGTGGTGTTTTGAATGATAATGCCCTCATAGGCGCAGTGTTTGGATGCTTCGTCCCCAGTTAGTAGAACTGTTTGGGAAGGATTCAGAGGTGTGGCTTTGTTGGAGGAGGTGTGTCACCGGGAAGGTGCTTTGAGGTTTCAAAAGCCTGTGTGTGTTAAGCCCACCATACACTCTCTGCCTCTGTACGCTGCCTATGAATCAGAATTTAAAGCTCTCAGCTACTGTTCCAGCACCATGTCTGTCTGCTTCCTGCCATGATGGTCATAGACTAAATAGACTAAACCTCTAAACTATAAGCAAGCCTCCAGTTAAATGCTTTTTTTTTTTTTTTTAATAAGAGTTGCCTTGGTCATAGTGTCTCTTCACAGCAATAGAACAGTAAGATACTGATATTTCCCAAATGCAATCCAAATGAGGCTCAGTTAGCCAGGATCTCTCCCTCCTTCATTAAGGAATTCAAAAGTCTCATGGGGGCATTTGACCTAACCTAGAAAAATATCCACGTCATTCTAACCATTAGGAAAAACCCATATCTGGGTTTTTAGCACCCCCTGAGCTGATGAGGCTCATGCTCAGAATTCAGTGATAGCCAAGCCAGCCTCCATCACAGGGCTGGATGGGAAGCTTTTCGGATCCTATCAGGACACTTTTAGGAAAGAGTTGGGGGGAGGATTCGATGGCACTATAGGATTATCTTTTTATTGGAGATAGTACCTTTAACAGTGACGTAATCCTGTAGAAGGGATTTTTTTTAAACCCGTAAGTATGACAAACTGTGGAAGAGAGCATAGATGTATACTATCCGAGCGTCCTCATCTCTTTCGAGCTGAAACCATGAACAGATTATATTAGTCTGGACACTGAGAGTCCGAAAGGCTAAGCCACCCTGGTTGTACATTTTATAAGGCAAGCCTCTCCAGCTACCAGACAAAAACTAGACCCAGAGTCCCCAGTGCCATTCTGCACTTTAAGTTCTCACCTTGGGGGCCTTCCACTGCTGAGTCTCAGGAAACAGAACCAACAATCACCAGTTTCAGTGCTCTGTGTTACATGGGACTATTGATCAAAGAGAGATACTGAAGGATGAATTTAGGCTTCTCAGCAGCTAGGGGATCAGCCCCTTAAGGACTGACTCCTGAACCCTTTTTGTAGAGGTCTTTATTGTTACACAAAAGACATCTTTAGCAAGTCAATTTCCACACAGGAAAACTTCTTGTCTGGACTAGGGATTGTCTTGAAAGAACCAGCACCTTAAGCAATTCTCAGCAGGAGACTTCCTGGTTTGCCAGGCGTGTCTAGAGACTAACATATGAAAAGGCTCTAAGAATCCTTAAAAAGAACACCCCATAAAATCTCAGATAACAATCACTGGCAAAAGGCTACTTCAAAGCCTAGGTGTCATCACTCAGGAATTCATGCCGGACAAAACGGCTCTGCCAAAATTCTGCCATATACCAGGCTCTCAACAAACTTCAGAGCTAACTAGAAACTTTACCGAACAGATCCCAACACCTGAGGCTTCTGTACAACACTCCATAAAACAATAAGCTTTACCTGCAGTGCTGGACCACGCCTTCCACACTTTCCTAGCCTGAGGCTGTGTGGCTCACAGACAGTAGCAGTTTTATGGTGGCAGGATACAAGTTTTCAGGGTATGTGACAGTGAGACTCACAAAGATCACAGAATCTGCGCCACTTCCAGGTAATTAATTCCAAGTCGGCCCCCAAAGCAGAACTCGTTGTCCTGACTAGGGCTCTCCAGATGGGGGCAGAAGTGGCTTAAAATTTACAGAGTGAGCCTGTGCTTTCCAGGTGACCTTTGTCCTGGCAGCAATCTGGAGAGAAAGGAGCCGATTAAAGATACCCCTGAGCTGTTGGCCTTAATGTTCATCATCTGGGCTCCAATATAGGTGACTATCATACATTACAAGACTTACTTTAAAAACAAACCAGGAATGTTCTGTTTGTTTGTTTGTTTGTTTGTTTGTTTGAGACAGGGTTTCTCTATGTAACCTTGGCTGCCCTGGAACTCTCTCTGTAGATTAGGCCGGCCTTGAACTCATATAGATCCACCTGCCTCTGCCTCCTGAGCGCTGGGATTAAAGGTGTGTGCCGCCACTGCCCAGCATCAAAGCAGGAATATTCTGCCAGTTTTCGTGGTAACAATAAAACAGAACAGGTTGAACAGGCAGCTTACCTTCCAAACCCACTCTCCCGTGTCCACAATGTAATCCTCAAGAAACCCAGTAGGTTTTAGATCAGGCCATTTCAATCAGCTTAGAGGGGTACTTTCAAAGCATCCCCAAAAGTTTTTGTACCCCAACTCCTCATTATCCAGAGAGGCTTGGTTTAAGAAAGAAACCAGTCACAGAATTTTAATTAAACAGAGGACAAAAACAGAACATAATTGAAGCAGCAAGAAAGAGTTTATAGGAGCTAAGAGAGTTTAACCTTCATAGGGAAGTCACCCAGGAGTAACCACAGCCAGGTCTGTACTATATTTTGGTTAAGATACCCCAGTATTGTGATGTTTACTCTGGTTCTCTGAGAGACTTTTCTCGAAGTCCCTCTGCTGGCTAATGATTATATTAATCTGAAACAAGCTAGGGTTATCTGGGAAGAAAGTTTGAAAGAAGGATTTGTAATAATATATTTTAAAATGTTACATACAACAGATCTGGTATGAAGATATAAAGAGATTTATTGATCCCCACAAAGGTGGGAAAAAAGACACAGAGAGAGAAATAAAGAGAGAAAGAGGGATGGGTAGGGTATCCCAAGAGAGAGAGGCAGACAGGGGAGGAGAATCTGAGGCAGAGAGAGTGTGTAGTGACTGGAAGGTCCTTTATATCTGGTGTGCAACTGCACGCCACACACCTGGTGGTGCCAGGCATTGACTTCAGGTCGCTAGGCAACCTAGAGGCAGGTTTGTGAACTGACATTCCTCCCTTTTTCTACAGTTAAAAAAAAAAAAAGAGCTAGGAAGAGGTGGTGTCACGAGCGCTTAATTATGCCGAAGGACTTTAACCGAGACGCCACAAAGGGCCGCAAAGTATTGATAAAAGCCAACGCCAGAAGGATTTTTAAATGCTGCTTTAATCACACAAATCACACAGATATCTAAGAGTTGCACAGCACATTTTCCATCTTATGGGGAATACAACCTGGCCACAGGTTCGGGCTCGGACACTTTGCCTCCGGCTTCTGGTGTCTTCTAGGTCCCGGAACTTCGAAGTTCCAGCCGGACCTCAGATGCATCTTCTGATGACTTGACAGGCCTCGGAGCTTCTCTGCTCCAGCCAGGCCTCAGATGCGAAGGAAGCTGCGGTTGCTCTGGTTGCTCGGAAGCCACCTTCCAGGGCCGGTCTGATAAGGTCTTTTCAGAACCGGTTTGTTAAGGTGGTCAAGGGCTTTTCAAACAGCCGTTCGGGAATTGGCTGGTTAGTGGCAATCTCTCGGCGTACTCACCAAAGAGTCTGGCCTGCCGCACCTGAGCGGGCTCAGGCTCCAGTTTTTATACCTTTTTCAGGGCATAGGTTTGACTTATCACTCGTTCACACGAACCAGCTGCTAATCGGCTGGCATTACCTAATTTCATTACTTAGTGCCTTAAGGGCGTTACTCTAATTTCTATACTTTATTCTAAAATATCACTTAGCCTACTACTCTTTCTCACACACGCCAGCTGCTAGTCAGCTGATATTATTTAGTTTTACTACTTAATATCTTAAGGGCATTACTTAGTTGCTATTACTTAAAATATCTTCTTATCTATCCTTGACAGCTCTGCTGTCTTACAAGCTCTCAGTGTCTTAGGGGCGTTGCCCAGTCACTGTCACCAAAAATGTCTCTCAACTTTGCTCCTGACAGCTCTGCT